GGGGGGAGGACGGAGAGGATAACATGGAGGAGGGTGAGGGGGTGGGAGAAGCAGGAGGAGGGAGAGGGGGAGGGGTAGGACCAGAGATGGGGGAGCAGCAGGAGCAGCCCGACGTCGGAGGGCACCAACTGCACACTTCCACCGATATTGGCCAGGCCGATCCTGGGCCCACAGCATGGGTGCATGTGCCTGCCCTGCTCGAGCCTGGAGGGCGTATGCACCGTCCCCAGGATGGGCACGGCCCCGCTCGGTGCTGGTGCGGAGATGGCGCCCTCGCACCCCTGCGGGGGGCGTCGGCAGCCCGGCGCGCGCGCGCGCCTCCCCGGCGCCCGCCGCGCAGGAACGCGGCGGAGGCGCTGAAGGCCCTGGCGGTGTTCCGGGACGGCTGCCAGCAGATCGTGGATCAGGCCGGCGGGCGGGGCCGCTCCCCGCCGCCCTGGCTCGCGCGGCGCGAGCTCCGCGCCCTCTGCCGCGCCCCCCGTCGGCGTCCTCCTCCCGGCGCTGACTGCGGCTCCTCTTTCGGGCCATCCTTCGCGCCGGGGGAAGCCCGCTGTTGACCTCTCCTCCTCCACCTCGTCCTCCTCCTCCTCGTCCGCCTCCTCCTCCTCCTCCTCCTCTTCAGCTCTCAAGGGATCCTCCAAATCTTGAACATCCGCAACACCCCGACTATCCCCGTCCCTGCCCAAAAGTTCTTCCTTACTCAGGTCTCGCGAGCTTTGCTCCCGCAATGAAGCTTTAAGTTTCATCGCAGGCGACTGGAACTTTTGCATCGAGGGCGAAGGCTCTCAGCACGTCTCTGGCAGGCTGGTTCCGACGAAACCCTACATTGTTCGTCATGCTGCTCGGTTTTTTTCGCCACACACCGAAGAGATGCAAGAGATGCCGACGCATCGTGTTGTTCAGGACGATCTGCTGGTGTCGGTCGCACGTTTGGATCGCATCAGGTGTAGTATGTATACAGCAGAGATCCTAGACATGCAGCCCAGCACGATGACCATCGGTGATGTCACAGACCGCACAACGCTCTCTGATCACATCCCCGTCTTCCTCGCCCTGGCGCCCCGGCCTCCTGGCACTCCTGGCATCGATGTTCCGCCCAAATGGGTTTCAAGGCATCCCGATTTCCATACTGAACGCGAGCGTGTTTTCTCGGAAGCTGTTTTTTTGAGTTTGGACCCCTGGGATCGTCTTGAGGAGACGAAGGACGTCCTGAGGTGTGCCGCTCGCAGTCTTATGGGACGTATTGAGACCAAGGGGGCCAGCTCGGACTCGGAAAAGATCTTCTGGTGTCTTGCCCTCCTGCGTGCCGTCCGTGCTCACAATCGTTCGCTTGCTCGCCGCGCGTGTCGTGCCTACCCGACCCTGGAGCGCTTTCTGGACCTTGAGTTTTTGATCTGGTCTGACCTGGACGGTTTCCATCAGCATGTTAGCATACCACAGCGTGCACATCTACAACGTGAAATCGAAGATGCAGGAACATCTTCTTCTTCACCTTCTGCTAAACGATTTGCGCGACAATGTCAGTTCTATGAATTTTGTTCTGCTTGGGCCTCTGGAGGCCGCCGTATCCGTCTGGCTGGTATCTCTGACCCCCAGGGCATCGAACACTCGGACCCCGTGGAAGTAGCCAAGCGATTAGCTCAATTCTGGGGATATGGTCATCAGGTACAACCTTGTCTGCCCGAACAGCTCGAGCATCTCCGACCGTTTGTCCAGAGAGCTCCGCCTTTGCCCGAGTGGGAGATAACGTTCGACGAATTCTGCATCATCCTTCGCACAGTTAAGGACTCCTCTCCAGGCCCAGACGGTTTGGTCTACTCTTCTTGGCTGCGCGCAGGGGGCCGGCCTTATTTTCGCTCTTTCAAGTCTACTGATCGTTCTTCCAGAGCCTGTGTGTGTGGGAGACGGTTTCAACCACGCCTTCGCTGTCTTCTTAGTCAAGGGCGAGTTCCCACCAGATGTTTTCGCCGCCTTCCGCCAAGTGGACGAGGCCAATCACATTGAGCAACACGTGTAACAAGCTTTGCTGTCTGGTGGTCAACCACGTCCTGGGCTATGTCTGCAGAGTTGTTTGCTGCAGCAACCAAACGGGGTTCGTACGGGGGAGATCCAGGTTCGACAACATGATAGGTTTAGAGGCCAGCAGGTGTCACTATTTGTGTCAACGATGTCTTTGTGATTCTGGGTGTGTCTTATACGATGTTAAGGCTGCATTCCCCAGCTTACTTCATGCATACATACGCTGAATTATGGAGCTCATGGAGACTCCCCCAAGGTTCCGCTGGGCCATCAAGTTGCTCTACTCTCGATGTTGGGTTAGTGTATCTTATTCTGGCGTCAAGTCCTTCGGCTTCTTGGTGACTAGAGGCATTAAGCAGGGCTGTCCACTGTCGGGTTCCATCTTCGCCCTCTGCCTCGACACCATCCGATCTGGTGCACTGCTGCTGGCGCTGCTGGACTTGTTCTAAAGCTCGAGGGCATCCAGATCGTCATGTTTCGTATGCCAGAGCATCAGCTCTTTCTCAGCAGACTACGTGCGCTCGGAATTCGAGGTAAGAGGTTTCAGCTCAAGCACGCGGGCAAATATGTAGGTCTGATGATCGGTCTCGAGTGTTGACACTAGTCGTGGGTAGCGCCTGGCAGACAGTTCTTCGACCGCGTGGCCTCGACCAACGCCCTGCACCTGAGTCTCGCAAAAAACCTTGCCAGGTACAAGGTGTTGGATTTCTCCACCCTCACCTTCGTCGCTCAGTTCCACCTCCCCGACCAGAGCACTCTGAGTTTACAGGGACGAGGTCTCCAACTCCTGACTGAGGGCCCCCGTAATGCCTACAGTCGTATCCTCCTATATAGTGTCAAGCATTAAGGATTCCCAGTTCAGGCCCAGAACTTGTACACTACGTCTCGGGCCTCTATGTGTCGCCTAGCCATGATTGTTAAGCTTTTCCATGACATGATCCATTTGTTTGGCCAATCTAGTGAATCCTTTGATTGTGTTGTCGCGTGGGAGAGTCGTCCTCTGTAATTGAACTCCAGTGTCAGAAGTATCTGGCTGAATTACAGGTCGCTGTCCAGCATCCCTGGCATTCCTGTGTTTGGCACGCCCGCGCTGCAGAGAAAAGTGGAAGCGCTCTTGTTGAGTCGTGCTCCCGACACCCCTGCTCCCACCATCATCGCTCGTGCCGCCCATTGGTCTCGCATCTCGCCCGAGGAAAAAGATCAGCTGCTGCTCGCGCTTCTTAGAATTGCCGCGTTGACGCCGCCGTGCGTCTTCGCCTTTGTCCTCCGCGCGATCTGTAATGCTTGGACGACTTCGCGACGCTTCAAAGGCCAATCTAAGACATGCCTGTTTTGTACCAATCCAGAATGTCAGGATTCCCTAGCACTCATGCTAGAGTGCCCAGTCCTGCGTAATGCCATTGCCCCCGTCCTCCCTCGCCTTCCTCCTGCTCTCGGGTCTTGGGGTGGGCCTGCCGTTGCCGCTGCTTTCCCACTTCTTCCTCTCCCCGACGACCAGTTGGTATCTTTTGCCTTTTTTTCAGATTCTGCCTGCAGTAGTTGTCATAACTGCAAAACGACGTCGAGATTCCGAGGTGAGTCCAGACTCCGCCGAGCATTGAAGTCCAGAGTGTGCCAGGTCCTCATGAGGCAACCGTCCCTCCAGAGCTACGTGCACTAGTCGAGGCGCTTCGACTAGGCGGGACCCTGCCCTTCGGCGGCGTGCCCTCCCTCCTGGTTGGCCTCCTCCTCCTCCTCCTCCTCCTTCTCCTCCTCGTCCGCCTCCTCCTCGTTCTCCTTCTCCTCCTGCTGGCGGCTGGGGAGGAAGGGTGTAGTGCTTCGAGCGTTCGTCCTGACGGCCGGCGATCGCCCGCGGATGCAGGAGCTTGGCCGATGCAGAAGGCGCCTGCAGGCGACGAGGGCGCCGATTTTGAAGGAGAGTTCGACGCCGAGGGCTTCGCCGGTCGCCGTCGCCGTCGCCGTCGCCGCCGGGTGCAGCCGCTTGTGTTCTTCTCGCCCTTGACCTCTCGCCCTGGTGCGCGTGGCCGACCTAGAATCCTAGAGTTCCAGTGCCCTCCTTCCCTCCCTCCTCCCTCCCCCAAATGCCTACCTCCCTTCCTCCCTGCTCTCCCTCCCCCCCCTCATTCCTCCCCTCCCTCCCCCCTCCTTCCCTCCCTCCCTGCCCTCCATTCTCCCGCCCTGCTCCCCCCGCAGGGTTCCGTGCTGGGCGTGGCCCAGTACCTGTGCGCGACTCTGCCCGACCAGCCGCTGTCGGCGCCTTTGGCCCAGTGCCTGCTGCGCCCCCGCCCGGCGGCGTGCCCCGCCCCGGCACGGTGGGCAAGGCGGTTCGCCGTCAGTGAGGGAGAGAGGAGGGTCGGCGGCGAGCGAAGGGGGGGAAACGAGAAAGAGAAGGCCTTTTCAGAAGGCGGCGGGAATTCTCAGGAGTCTTTGCGCCTTCCGAAGAGTTTCTTGCGTCTTCGGGGAAGGCTTCTCATAAGGCTCGCCTCTTTTCATTTCCCCCCCTCGCTCGCTGCCAACAGGGGGTGTGCCAGGGGGGCCACGGGTCCTGTCGGCCTGGGGCTGTTTCAAAGCCCCCGGAGGGCCTTCCCCCGGCTTTCGGGAACCGTCAGAAAGAGCGTCAGAATCACGAGCTGGTCCCTCGTGGGCCCAGGGACCGTTTCCCCCCAGGACCCGCTGCCTTCATGCCTCCTCGAGATCACGATCTCGAGGAGGAGGATGAGGAGGAGGAGGCCCTCCATGCCCTGGCCGGCGCGGCGCGCACGTCCGCCTAACTTCGACCCCGGGCGCAGTGCGCACAAGTGCCCGCATCACCTTGTTGTTCGAGACCTCCCACAGGGGTCCGAGTAGTTGGGGTCGGAGGATCGCGCCGCATCGCCGATGCATCGACAATGCGGCTCGATGTGGAACCCGTCTTTTCCCACGCTGACGTCGCCGATGCATCGCCGTCGGCGCGATTTCTTGACCCATCTATTCGGAACCCATCTAGGAGGCCTCTACACGAGGTTGTGGCCGCCAAGGGCACGTATCGGAATTGAGCGGGGGACGCTTGTCATGAGTGCTGCTGTTAATGTTGCCGTGATTTGCTTCTGCTGCTGCCGTTGACAGTGATGTCGTGCACCGACGATGGAAGACTCCGCCTTTCTCCCTCGACGAAAAGAGGCTCGACCTCAGAAGTGCGCCGAAGGTTCTTGAACCAAAGCGTGCATGGCCATTGATGGTACAGTGGAGGCCCCCGTCTCGAACGCAGATGACACGGGTGGCTCGAGCTCGTGTTTCGCAGTCGTCCGAGCAGTTTGGCATGGGCCTTGCACGTGTTTCACCGTCTCAAAGAGGGGGAGTGGGATGGTGATGGTGGTGCTTCTACTGATGATGATGATGATCATGATGATGATCATGATGATGATGATGATGATGATGATGATGATGATGATGATGATGATGACTATCATTAAGTCGGGCCTGTCCCTCTACAGGGGGAATATTCAAGAATAGTCAAACAATTAGTTTTGGGACTATTTTTTGAGTACCTTTTTCAACCATTTTGGAGTATTTTTTGAGTATTTAATTTTTTTCGTCGAACATCTCCCTGTAGTGGGACAGGCCCGACTCAAGACTATCATTTGGATGAGGCGGAGGAGGAGGTGGAGGAGGCGGAAAGAGGTTTCGACTGGCGCATTCCATTGGGCTTGACTTCATTCACACGTGCATCTTTGAGGCACCGTTCATTTGCGCCTGTTGGTGGTTCGATTCTTTGTTGTTGTCTCGTCGTGCCATCCAGGACCCCTCGCACGATGATTGCAGCGATGATGTGGGGCACGTCAAAAGGGGGAATTCCGAGACAGACAAATGAACAGTTGGTAATGAAGGCAAGTAACAAGATAACGTCGATGATTGTGACGATGAGGAGACGGGGCATCAGCACCACCAGCACCAGCTTAAACATCAGCAGGACGATCACTATCTACAGCATCAACACCAGCACCATCGTCAGCACGAGCATGAGCATGGGCATCAGAAGCGCAGCATGAGCATCAGCACCAACATCGGCATGACCACCAGCGTCATAGTCGTTACCGTTATCCGTAAACATCTTCAATCAGATAACCACTGGGACAGAGCATTATGATGACGACCGCGACGGTGGCGCCAACGGTGATGGCCACGATGGTGACAATGACGAGGAGGAGGAGGACGGCGACGATCATGATTGACGATCATTATGGTGGTGGTGGTGGTGGAGAGATGCTGCTGCTGCTGCTGCTGCTGCTGCTGTTGTTGTTGTTGTTGTTGTTGTTGTTGTTGTTGTTGTTGTTGTTGTTGTTGAGATCTCATGTCTAAATCATGATCACCGTTGATCCCCTCTGTCTGGTAACCGTTGATCCCCAATCAGTTGCCTCTGTAGGGGTCCTAGCGGATTCTCATATGGTTAGGTGAGGTTCGTCGCCGATGTTGGTGGCTGGACCTGGTGCCCAGGTGCCCGGGTGCCCAGGTGCCGGGTGCCCGGGGCTGCCTGGGTGCCCGGGTGCACGGGTGCCCGGGGGGTGCCCGGAGGTGCCCGGGGTTGCCCGGGTGCCCGGGTGCCTGGGTGTTTTATCGCCCTATAGCCCTATAGCCCTATAGCCCTATAGCCCAATAGCCCTATAGCCCAATAGCCCTATAGCCTTATAGCCCTACAGCCCTACAGCCCCATAGCCCTATAGCCCTATAGCCCTATAGCCCGATGGCCCTATAACCCTATAGCCCCATAGCCCTATAGCCGTATAGCTCTACAGCCCTGTAGCCCTATAGCCCACTCGCACGGTAGCCCAATAACCCTATAGCCCTTGTAACCCTATAGCTCTATAGCCTTATCGCCTCATAGACCTCTAGCTCTACAGCCCTATAGCTCTATATGCCTATAGCCCTGTAGCTCTATAACCCTATAAACCTATAGCCCTATGGTCCTATAGTTCTATAGCCCCATAGCCCTATAGCCCTAAAGAGATTATGATTGGGGTGTTTCGCCGGTATCATTTTTTTTAAATGGAATTGCTTCTCTGGGGCTCACATCTTGTTTTCTACATTGGAAAATGACGTAAAACCAAACCTCCTGGCCTCCGGTTTGCAACAACAGCGGCTCCCGCTTGATAAGTCCTCACAGTTTATTCCCGAATCGCGCTCTCGCGCGCTCTCGCGTGGGACTTTCACGCCATTTATTCAGACGCCGCGCCCTCGACACTCAGGAAACACGCTCTCGCTCTGGATTTCCTGATAATTTATTTGTGAATCGCTCTATCGCTCGAGACTTCCTTGCAATTCATGCAGGACGCACGCTGAAGAGCCGCCTCCTGGACCTGGCCGCTTGGGCCCGCCTTCCCGACCCGCCCTTTAGCGTCTACCCGCTGGTCTCGTTCTGCCACGTGTTTTCTGCTCCTAGCCCCCTTCTGCTCTCTCTTTAGTGCTCCATCCTCCTCCCTCCCCCTTGTCTGTTCCTTCCATCCGTCCTTTCTTCCCGTGCCTGAAGGGCTGCACGAAATACACGTTGCAGGCAAGAAAGACATTCATTCTTAATGGCGTACGATCGAAGTCGAAGAGGGTTTGCGATATACGTGTTGAATGGCCCGCGAGCAGATAAGAACGAACAGTCTTAACATGGTTGTTGTTGTTATAGTTGCGCTAGTAGTAGTAGTCGTAGTATTACTTTTAGTAGTGGTAGTAGCAGTAGCAGTAGCAGTAACAGTAGTAGTAGTAGTAGTAGTAGTAGTAGTAGTAGTAGTAGTAGTAGTAGTATTATTAGGACTAGCAGCAGTAGTAGTAGTAGTAGTAGTAGTAGTAGTAGTAGTAGTAGTAGTAGTAGTAGTAGTAGTAGTAGTAGTAGTAGTAGTAGTAGTAGTAGTAGTAGTAGTAGTAGCTCCCGCGGAGGATTTCTCATGTTTTATCCAGGCATCGCGCTCTCGCATGGTACTTCCTTACCAATTATTGCGGCGCTGTGCCCCCGAGACTCACACATCACGCTCTCGCTTTAGATTTCCTAGCCATTTACTTGGGAATCGCATTATCGCTCGAAACTTCATGATGGGTTGACGCATTAGCGACCCGCCCGCTCGACCTGGCTGTCTGGGCCCACCCGCCCGATCTGCCCATTAGGGTCCGCCCAGCCGACACGCCAGGCTGGTTCTGCCGCGTGTGCTGCTTCTCCCAACCCTCGTCCTGCAAGTTTCTCTCGTGCTCCATCTTCTATTTTCCCATTGTCTCTTCACTCTTCCGCTCCTTCCCCTGTTTTAGGGGCTGCCCCAACTACACGCGACAGGTAGGAAGAGATACTTGCAAGAGGGGTACGATGGAAGGCGAAGAGGGCGGGTACCGAGGGTTTGGGATATACGTGTTGAGTGGCACGCGAGCAGATAAGAGCGAACACTCTTAAAATGATCTTGTTGTGTGCTGATGAATACTAAGATCTAAACAATCATGATTGCTGTTCCCCCCTTCGATACCCATTCTGTTTTTCAACTCACGTGATCCTCTCGGGGCTCGCACCGGGGTTTTTACGGGGAAGTATTGGTCCACAATCTGTGTTGTTGGCCTCCCGTTTGCAACAAGACCGGCCCCCGCCTGATAGTTCCCCACAATGTATTTCAAGTCCGCGCTCGCGCTGGGGGATTCTTCGTAATTTATGCAGAATTCGCGCTCTCGCGTGGTATTCCCTCACAATTTATTGCGGCGCCGTGACCCCTCGACACTCAGGAACTACGCTTTCGCTTTGTATTTTCATCACAGTTCACTTGGGAATCGCGCTATCGTTTCAAAATTCCTTGCGATTTATGTTGGATTGACGGTTCAGCGACCCACCCGCTCGACCTGGCCGTCTGGCCCCGTCCGCCCGACCTGCACGTGAGGGTCTACCCGCCCGACCTGCCTGTCTGGTTCTGCTGCTTGTACTCCTGCTCCTAGCATTCCTCTTGCAAATCTGTCTCGTGCTGCATCACCCTCCCTCCCCCTTGTCTCTTCCGTGCTCCCTTCCCTCCCTTGATTTAGCGGCGGCCTCAACTACACGTGGCAGGCAAGGAAAACACACCTCCAATGGGAGTACGATCGAAGAGGAAAAGAGCTGGTGCGGAGGGTTTAGGACATACGTGTTGAGTGGCATGCGAGCAGATAAGAGCGATCAGTCTTAACATTATTGTTGGTGTTGATGTTGGTGGTGGTCGTGGTGGTGGTGATGATGATGATGACGACGATGATGATGATGATGATGAGGATGAGGATGAGGATGATGATGATGATGATGCTGATGCTGATGATGATGATGATGATGCTGATGATGATGATGATGATGATGATGATAATGATGCTCATGATGATGATGATGATGATGATGATGCTGATGCTGATGCTGATGCTGCTGATGCTGATGCTGATGATGATGCTGATGATGCTGCTGATGATGATACATGATGATGGTTTCTATGATGAAAGTTGTGGTGGAGGATGGTAAGCAGCAAGAGGAGGAGGAGGAGGATGATGATGATGAGGAGGAGGAGGAGCTGGAGGAAGAAGATGACGAGGGGGAGTGGAAGAGAAGAAGAGTCAGGAGGAGGAGCTTAGCTCGTGTGGCCCTGGTTAAGGTCAGGGCGGGAAAGGAGCCCCAGTGTGTGTTTTTCTGGGGGCTGCCCTCCCCCTTGCCAGTTCGTGCGCCGTTTGAGCAACGCTTAGGCTTGGCCCCGAGGACTGCGAGGTTTTTCTTAGGTCCCAGCCCCGTTCATGGCCTGTCTGGAATATGGCCTGAGTGGGCTGATGTGTTCTGTCAAGTGGACCACATTCTGTGAGGACGCGGAGGACATACAGAGGGGTCGAGGAAGAGGATGAGGACGAGGAGGAGGAAGAGAAGAGGAGTAGGAGGAGTAGGAGAAAGAGGAAGAGGAGGAGAAGGAGGAGGAGAAGGAGGCCGAGGAGGAGGATTATGAGAACGAAGAGGACGAGGACAGTGTGGAGGAGCAAGGGT